TAATATTTTTTTTTATCATTCTGTAATATTTTTTTTTTTTTCAACCATAATAAGTTGCATGTATAATATATATATATATATATATATAGCATAGAATGTCGTCACATGTCAACATTATTTGATCTATGTCGTGTTTTTAATTTGGTCCTAGTTTTTTTATAGGAACAATTACTAATTAGTATAAATTTTTAAAAATAATTTCATATAGTGTTAAAATTTATGTACATTAATAATTAAACTCTTAAGATTTTTTACATTTTAAAATTATTTTGTACAACCATTATTGAAATGTAATTTCTCCTATATATATAGTTTAGTTCCAAAAAAAAAAAAATCCCTATTATGCTATTCCAAATTAAAAAATATCTTTCACAAAATTATTTTAATTTTCATTATTAAAATTTGAGAGCATAATATTTTACTCTCCACCTCAATGTCACCATCCCAAATTCATTTATGGCGACACTTGTGATAATGAAAGCATCATTAATTGTAAATAGGGTGAGACTTCTCTTCAGTTTGGTTTCAGGTTGGATCATATGGTTGGATCTCTGTGGGCTCATCATGGAGCTCACATCGATGATCCGAATCGTTCAATATATAGGGCTTGTCGAGTATTTCATCATTGCAAAAAAATAATGTTGATCGGATATCCATTGCAACTTGATCAGATCATATTTTTGTTAATACTTTTTTTTTAAATTATATTGAACGTTGACAGAAATATGATCTAATCAAGTGACTATCAACATCTGATCAATATAATTTTTTTTAAAATGAAATACTCAATAAATTCTACATGTTGAACAATTCAAATTATCAATGTAGATTTTGTAATGAACCCACAAGACCCGACAGGATTATCCAGTCCGATTATCGACTAGACAAAGCCACACCCTTGTAAATATATGGCTAATGAATATCCAAACAAGCTGCAGTGAAAAGCTGTGAGTGGAACAAGCGTTTGGATCTTGTCCTGGTACTGCACCCTTACATTCCTTCAAGAGCCACGTCTACTAAAAGATAAACTACGCCTAGGCGTTTGGGTAGTGAGTTTTTTTTTTTATTTTTTAATTGTAAGAAATTATTGAAGATTTTTTTTTTTGTATTTGGGAAAATAGTTGGATTTTTTTGTAATTAAATGTGATGTTTGTGAGAGAAAAAATAAAATGATTATGGGATTTGATGTGATATTTTGTTTGGATTTGTTTTTTTTGAATTTTGTAACTAATTTGTCTTTTAGTGAAAAAAAACTAAAAAAAATCATTCCCAAACACCGCCTTATAGTCCGGACTAAGGGTGTTTGCATATTGTTTTTTATTTTTATTTTTTTATAAAAAAATTATGTTAAAAAAATAAAGAAAATAATGTGATAATTTATAGCCACTTTGTTATTATTTTTGTTTTTTTGACTTCTTATGAAGTCTCCAAATTTAGGAGTGGTTTGGGATGATCTAAATAAGTGTACTTTTTAACTTTTTATGAAATATAGGTTAAGTATGAGTTAGATTTAAAATGATATGATAAAAAGGTGACGTGACTTAAATAAAATAATATAATTTAAATAGAATAATGACTTTTTAACTTTTTAATTTTTTTAGATAATGACAAATAAGACCTTAGCCTAGGAGTCATTTTAACATAAAATGAACTTGATAGTTGAATTGAATAAGCTATATTATCTTGTACTTTTTAACTTTTTATGAAATATAAGTTAAGTATGAGTTAGATTTGAAATGATGTGATAAAAATGTGACGTGACTTAAATAAAATAATATAATTTAAATAGAATAATGACTTTTTAACTTTTTAATTTTTTTAGATCATGATAAATAAAACCTTAGCCTAGGAGTCATTTTAACATAAAATGAACTTGATAGTTGAATTGAATAAGCTATATTATCTAGTGCAGAGAGAGGAAAGAGAATGCAATAATTGTACTGTGGGATGTAGAAAGAGCATCTACAAGGAGAATATGCGGAGAAGTTATTAATTGATTTTGAATACCATCACGTGATATTTCAAAGATATTGTAATTGATAAAAAGGACGTTGTTCATGAATTTATGTTAATTGATTAAAAAATATAAAGGAATATAGTAAATTAGAATTAGCGTAAGATATGATATTGTAATATCCAAAACCAACTAATAATTTTTCAAATGTGACAGCAAACACCTGCTGCTTGTTTTTTTGGACTGGCACAAGTTTTTGAAAGAGAGCAAAAATATGTATATCCTAAAGTGGTTCAACCTTCACTACGAATATCCAATGGATGTTTGGTCTTATCCTACTTGTTCAATTACTATAATGTTTCCCCTTGGTATTATTTATTTTGAATATTGTTAAATTTGACACAAATTTTTTTATTATCATTGTTTTGTATAGTTTGTAATTTAAATACGCATGATTAGTTCCTTATTTCGAAATAATCATAAAACAAAAAATAAAAGAGTGTAGAGCATATTTTTGTTATTTACGCTAATGATATAAAATAGTGAAAACAGATAACTACTGATATACATATGGCAGTACTTATTTTAATATATTAGTAATGGGTGCAGACACTACATCTATTTATATTTATATTTTAATTTTAAAAAATTAATTAGCAGTTCTGACATATTTATTTATTTAATTAGCAATTTTATGAACATCTTTAAAATTCAAAATTACGTGACAAAACTTCTCAAAGCTATTCAACATCTCCATTGATTTTGCCATGTTATAATTTCAAACCAAGCGATAATGGTTTAAATACCCTTCCATTTTTTGCCCCCACATTGTCAAATAAAAATGTTATTTGGTGAGTTCCATCATGAACGAGGTCGAAAAGAAACCCTTCTTTTAAAAAATAAATAAATAAATAAATAAAAATTCAGATTTGACCCTAAAGATGTGTCTGTTTGATGTTATTTCTTTCCAACCAAGCACTCGTTTAGGAAGAAGGATTGAGTTGGATTTGGAGTTATTTTAGTTACAAAAAGATAAAATAAATTTTTTAATTTAATAAGATAAAATATCACATCTAACTCATAATAGTCAAAAAGTTAAAAAGTCAACCTACTTTCCAAACGAACTCTAACTTATTTGCTTCTCAATAATCATTTTTTAAAGGTAAATTATACTAGTGATTCTTACATTTTCTTCATTATGTCATTTCAATTCTTACATTTTTAATTGACTCAAATTTGACCATTAATTTTAAATTTTATATCAATTCGGTTTAATTGATAATGCTAATTGTATTTTTGATGAAAAATTAACACTAAATTGATTGAGATTAACTCACTAAGTTAAGTAAATTTATAATTTTGTTTTTAAAATATGACACATGTTACGTATGTGCTTATTTATTTTTATAAAAAATGTTAAGATTTGTAATCAATTGGACCAAATTAATAAATTTATAATCAAAATTGAGCCAGTTAAAATTATAGGGACTAAAATTGACACAAGTACTAAAATATAAGGACTATCGTTGTAATTTATCTTTTTTTAATTTATATAAATTATGAAAAATGTTATGAACTCACCCTTATAAACCCATAATCTACCCTGAATGGGTTTGTATGGTGGAAATTGAATTGATGAAGTGTGAGATTCATAAATAAAATGAATTTGAACTATTGATTTTTTTTTTTCTGAATAAATTCTAGGTTGGTAAGGGTGGGTTTGCAGTATTGTTGATAAACTATTGTTGCCTAAGCTATAAGTATAAATTAAGTTTTCGTTTGAGAAGAGTTAAAATAGTATGACTTTTTTAGCCTCGCTTGATTTTTGTTTTTTTTTCTTTATTTTTGTAAGAGAAAAAATGTAATGATTATGGTTTGAATGTGACATTTTATCTTATTGATTTATATAGTCAATTTTATCTTTTGTGCTTTTTTAGCCAAAAAACCAAAACCAAACATAAATATTTTGGACTGAAGGGCACTGCTTGGCCAGTGGAACCTACCACGGGTCCCTTTTAAATGATCCAAACCGTTCATTTTATCATACACTTCATATATTTCATCAACACAAAAAATTGGATCGATCCGATAATTGTAACTTGTTCAATTTATTACATTTTTAACTAAAAAAATTATAATTTATTTTAAAAAATAAATTTTTTTGTTTGTTTTAAAATATGTAATAAATTGAATAAATTATAATTATTAAATCTATTGAATTAATCTAATTTTTTGTGTAAGTAAAATACATAAAATACCTAATAAAGCCTAAGTTTGGGAATAGGTTGGTTTTTTGACTTTTTGACTTTTTTAGCCTGGAGCTAAAAATCCTGATTTGGGAAGGGCTTTTTGACTTTTTTTGTGAGAGAGGAGTGTAATGATTATGGGTTAGATTTGATGTTTTGTTTTTTGTGGCTAAAATAGCCTATTTTATTTTTTGTGGTTATTTTAGCCCTAACCCACCAAAACCAACTTCCCAAACTATGCCAAAATAAGCCATTCGAATTATTATAAAAATTTTATAAAATAAACCATTCATAATGCGTCCCGTTAGTCCAAAGAGAGTCTTTCAATCCAATCCTTCGCCAACTATTTTTATAAAATTTTAGGATAAATTACAAATACACCCTTTAAAATTTACTTAAAATATGAATTGCTCCTATAGTTTGGAAAATTATAAATATTTCCCGGTCAAATTTTTTTATTTAACAGAATTAATTAAAAAAGTGAAATTTCGAACTGTTCATCCATGCAATAATAAAATTATTTGATTGATTAATTAAAATAAAATTTTTACATTATTAAAAACTGTTAATTAACTTGATGATTTATTAATAAAATAACCTATTTGTTATGAAATTAGAAATTTTAGGAGGCATAATATAATTTTTAGAATTACATGAGTTAATTTGTAATTTAAGTAAATTTTAGGGAACGTATTTGTAATTTATCCAAAATTTTAAAATAAAATAAAATAAAAAATTATATGTATAACTGGCTCCAAAGAAGCGCATTAGAGCAAAATGTTCCTGGGCGCGTCGTATTCACCTCTCTCCCTCTCTCGGCTATAAAAGTCTGAAAGATCCGTCACACTTATCATGGCATATATTTGCAAAGAGTCCAAAGTGACAGATCGAGAGAGAGAGAGAGAGAGAGATGAAGCCATTGAAATTTTCAGACTGTGAAAAAGAGAAGGGTTGTGTTAAATGGGTTGAGAAGTACTTCAAGGACTGTCTCTGCAACCTCAACGACCAACTCTCATTCGGTATTGGTTTAGCAAGTCTGGTTTGTTGGGGTGTTGCTGAAATCCCTCAAATCATCACCAACTTCCACAACAAGTCCGGCCATGGCCTGTCTCTCTCATTTCTCTGCACTTGGATTGTTGGGTATTTCTCTCTTTTTTCTTTTTCTTTTTTAATTTTTAATTTTTTAATTTTTTTTTTTGTGGCGAGCAATGCATAAATATACATTATTGTTTCATAATTTGATCTTAAAACTAACTTGAAAAACTTGATGGTGGGTGCAGTGACATCTTCAACCTAGTGGGTTGCTTTCTCGAGCCTGCCACGGTATATCAATAGTGACTTACCAAAAAATAATGGGCAATTATTTATCCGTGATTCTTACAACAATGCTAAGTGATCTGAAATTTATTGATTCGAATGGTTCGAATATCTCAAAACGACATCGTTTTGAGACATTTGAACTATTTGAACAACATAAATTCAGAGTACCAAATATTTTTCTAATTCTTAAATTTTGTGTGCGCGTGTGTGTGAATTTAAGTCTTTACGGTTTGGATTTCATGATTTATTTTTTATTTTTTATTTTTATGTTGGGTTAATTAGTCTCTTAATATTATTTTGAAACAAAAGAGTAGGGCCCATTAAAGTAGTCGTTTTTATAATTTGGACTTGTGTCACTATGGTATTTGATTTTTTAATTATGACACATTTAATCTTACATTTTGAATCTTATTCTATTAGTTTGATTTTGATATTTAATTTTAGATTTGTGTCGATTTGGTAATTGATGATGTTGATTAAGATTTTTGAAGAAAAATGATTGCTGAGTTGATTAGGATTAACTCAATGAGTTGAACAAATTTATATATATATTTATAAAAGTATAACACATGTTGTTCATGTGCATATTTTCGATAAAGAAAACACTAACAATTGTAAATTGAGACAAAATTATAAATTTATGATCAAAATTGAGCCAATTGAAATTACAAGAATCAAAATAACATAAGAATCAAAATATAAGGACTACAAATGTAATTTATCCAAAAAAATTAAGTTAAATTGCTAAATTAAAACTATAATAACTAAATTAACACAAGAGACAAATTACAAAAGTTAGGATAATTTGCCCAAAAATAATTGAAATAAGGCTCCATTTGTTTATATATACTACATGCAAGATTATTCCTTGTAAAATAATTGTGCTTCCTTTTTTGGGTGCAATTCCTGTGCTATGTGTGTGCTGGTCACTGCTCATCATAAGTCAGAAGGTTCAAATGCCCATTTTGGATTGTTTATAAGCTAATTTTTCATTTTATTTATTAAAGAAAATGTCTCGTAGCTCGAAAGGGTCGAGCTCGAAACGGCTCGAAAATGGAAGAAGAGGGAAGAAAGAGAGAGAAGAGGAGGAGAGAGGAAAAAAGAGAGAGGAGAGGGCTCGTCGCCGTGGCTCAAATATTGTAAAAAATTATAATCCAACATCCTCATACCCTCCTGATCTCATATGCTTTCTACCACTCCCAGTGGAAAATTATTCAATAATTTGGGGACAAATTTAGGTGATGATTCAAATTAATAGTTATTCATCCTAACTTATAAAATTCATGACTTTTATGTTTTACTTTTAAGAGATAATGTGTACAATATCAATTAATAAATCGACCATGCTACGTAGCTCGAAACCGCGGCTCGAAATCGCGGCTTGACACCAAAACGACGTCGTTTTGGTGTCAAGCCGCGATTTCGAGCCGCGGTTTCGAGCTACGTAGCATGGTCGATTTATTAATTGATATTGTACACATTATCTCTTAAAAGTAAAACATAAAAGTCATGAATTTTATAAGTTAGGATGAATAACTATTAATTTGAATCATCACCTAAATTTGTCCCCAAATTATTGAATAATTTTCCACTGGGAGTGGTAGAAAGCATATGAGATCAGGAGGGTATGAGGATGTTGGATTATAATTTTTTACAATATTTTTTTATGTAATAATTTTGTAAATTAAAAATATTTTCAGCTTTAATTTTTTCTTAAATTATTATTACAGAATTATTGTATTAAAAATTATTGGAGAAAATTCTAATATGAAAATAATCTGAAAATGTTGGTAGTGGTGGAACGACATTTCTGTTATTTCTGTTTTTGCATAAGTAATTATAATAATTCTGATATTTAAAACATGTACGTTCATGTCATTTTCAAAAATATGTGTTGGATTGGAGGCTGTAGATATACATCAAAGATAACACTAATAGAAAGAAAATGAGAAAATGTCTCGTAACTCAAATTTTGTAGCTCAAAAGTGGCTCAAATAGCCAAAACGACGTCGTTTTGGCCATTTTTATGTTGTTTTGTACTCAAAATGACGTCGTTTTAGCCATTTGAGCCACTTTTGAGCCACAAAATTTGAGCTACGTAGCATTGTCGAAGAAAATGTTTGGGACCCTCTTGAGAATGACTCCCATACTCCCAAAGTGATTTTAACCCTCTATGTATGTGTAGGGTTCATTTATGTATAATTCAAATTTGTGGAAGGTTTTGTAGGAGTGAGAGTCTCAATCATTGCTTTAATAGAATAGTCTCAGTAATTTTATTCAAAAATATTATGATTCACATCTATTTTACATTTGGGTCCATACTACTTTTTTTTCTTTCCTTTTTTCTTTTCTTTTTTTTTTTTTTTTTTTTGTTTTTTTTTTGAACAGAGAAAGGATTACAAAACGAAAACTTCCAAAGAAAACCTAACAAAACAGACAGATGGTTGGGTCCATACTACCTCAATCAATCTCCATCACATACATAATTTCTTGAAAAATATAATTAAATTTTTTTAGAGAGTAGCATTTGTAAAAAGATAAGGAAATTGTTATAGTGCTAAATTTTCTACTGAATAAATGATTAAATGTCTGTGGAGTTCATAAAATTACAGACCCCACACCTATATAAGACATTTAATTATTTATTTGATTAAAAATTTGGTATTCCTAACCTTATTCAAAAATAATGAGACAATTTAGCTTAGACCAATCTTTACAAGGGTTAGCTTCTCTCTAGGGGCAGATTAGACCCATCCAGTTTGATTCCATGTGGGCTTTAATATCACACTCACTTTAATACTGTGTTTGGTTGGGAGATTTGGGAAGGGATTTGGAAACGGAAATGGAAAAGGTAAGTGAAATGTGAATAAATCATGCCTATATTTCACATAGTTTCACACACCTTTTTCCTTTTCTTTTCCAAATCCCTCCCCAAATCCCCCAACCAAACACAGCATAATGGTTTATTTTTAAAAATTATATCTAACTTATTAAATGAAAAAAAATTAAATTCATTAAATAAGAATAATTTCACACTGAGAGTTTGATTATTAAGTGCACTTCGGTGGAAATAAATGCAATAAAATAAAAACGTTTCGATTATCAAATCAATTTAATTTTTTTCATAAATGATACATATGAAGAATTTAATAAAAAGAATTGTTGAGATTATCAAAATGGGACCCCTAACCCTCAAATTCTCTTAGGTTCAAATTTAAACTTCAAAGAAGCTTAACCTTTCATGAAAATATCGATTTTAAGTCATATGAAAGTTGAAGCTGTACATATTATCTTCTTGATACAATTTTTGCCAAATATAAATTTAGGACGTATAATCGATCACAAAAAATATACAAATGAAACACGATTTTAATGACGATTATTTTTTTGTGATTAATTATGTGGTCAGCATTGTGTTAAGACTTATTATTTTATCAATTAATTGGAAATCTTTATTTTTTGATGCAGTTGCCGACCCAGTTCTACACTGCATTGGTAAAGCCTTCTCTCTTCTTCATCATTGTGCAATTAGCCCCCCTCACATTACACATTGGTATTTTTAATAAGATTTAATTTGGTTATTTACCATGTTATATGCAGCTATACACAACAATCACAGTAATATTGGTGTTGCAATGCATATATTATGATCACTTTCTCCAATGGTGGAAGCATCGGAACATTCAAGTCAATCTGGTCATACAACATCATTCTCTTTTTGTCTCACCGCTATATTCAATAGTTTAATATGAAAACGATGTTTTGATACTTATTGTTTTGATAGGTAAAAGATGAGTCAAAACCTTTGAAATCCGATTATGTCGACTCAAGTAGAGCTTCAACAAATACCCCTAGTGTTGAAGTACCTAAACGGAGAGAATTCTATTATACGTAATATGGAACTCGATATGTAAAATTCATCTAAAACTTTTTATCTTGTATTATGTATTCAATTTTCCTTTTTTTTTTTTTTTTTCTTGGTACAGGTCAGCAAGATCATTGGCTAGGAGCAATACGCCACCATTCCAATCTTCTTATATTAGGGCTAAAAGTGGTCCTTCTGCTTTGGAGGTTTACAGTGATTCATCATCTGAAGATGACACAACTCCAGCTCCCTCCAACAAGTCCCAGCCTCAGCGAATTCCACGTTCCGTATGTCCATAAATTCAAATTTTAAAAAAAAAAAAAAAAAAAAAATGTCCCCTGTTTTCACAAAAATTATGAAATTTTACTACTTTCTGTGTTTGAAAAGTTGTGAAATTTCAAAATTTTTGTACAATGTTTAGAAATAGATGACATTCTTGTAGTGTTCATTACAGTCAACATGATATGATTATACATTTAACATAATATCTAATCACAATTACCTAAATTTTATGCTTTAGCTGAAATTGATGAATAAACTATTACATGTCACGTGTTATAATAATGTTTATTTGTTAGTTGGGTTATGGAACCTTCCTGGCTGCCTCAGCCAAATTGCCCATCCAAAGCCGGGCTTTAACAGAAGAAGGATACATGAAACGAACTGGGATGACATTATTGCAGGTACTTGTGCCATCATATTTTGAGATTCTGAAATCATGATATTTTCCAGATTATCAAAAAATTGTGAATGTTTTGAGACAAGAAAACAGTAAAATTGAGAACATATACTTTGACAGAACTGAATCGCCTTTTTTTATTTTTATTTTTTATAAATATGTTCACGACGAACAGGAGCATGGATTAATGCAAGACTTGGCATGGGGACAATGGTTGGGATGGTTGATGGCAGCCATATACATGGGCGGTCGAGTCCCACAAATTTGGTTGAATGTGAGTTCACAATTCATTTTTGGAGAACCCTTTTGTCTATTGTCAATGTCTGTGCATAGATTTGATTTGATTTGATTTGATTTATTCTAATTGATTTGCATTGAACTGAATGACCAGATCAAAAGAGGGAGTGTGGAGGTACTATACATATCTATTTTTTCACTCTTTTATATTAAGATTGTAAGTATATACATTACCCAATCTTTGCTTGAGAAGTCTTGAATTAACCATTAATTTCTTCCTTATAGGGCTTGAACCCTTTCATGTTCATCCTTGCCCTCATTGCCAATGTCACTTACACTGGAAGGTCCTTTCTCTCTTTCTAGAGAAGAGCAATTAAGACTTTATCACCTATCTCTCTCTCTCTCTCTCATAATGAACTGAATAAATGCAGTATTCTAGTGAGAAGCACTGAATGGGAGAAGATAAAACCTAACTTGCCTTGGTTGCTGGATGCAGTAGTCTGTGTGCTGCTTGATCTCTTTGTATCCTTTCCTCATATTAAGTCATCATTTACAATTAGGATATGTTTGGATCAAAGATTTAAGGGAATTTATAAATTCTTCCTCAAATTATTGATAGAAAACATAGCTTAAAGTTTCTCCTCCTCTTTTTTTTTTTTTCTTTGGAAGTCAAGGAAATCTTATTTTTTTTCAGATAACAATTTGACCTTAACAATGAATGAAATAGATCATCCTTCAGTACGTTTACTACAGGTATTTGAAGCAAAAGAGGAAGATCGACTCCATTGAAGCATATTATGTAGACCCTGTGGATGTCAAATCTATTGTATCATCATAAGTATCCATCTTTATCCATCTCTATCCATCTCATTGTGTATTTAAATATGAGTTTGATTATTTGTACTGCTCTTGATGAGGTGATTTCAACTACTATTGAGTGATTGTATATGCATTGTCTTTTTTGTTTTTTGTATTTTGTGATTTGACTTTTATATACTTGAGACTTAATAAAAAGTGTACAAGAGTGATAGAAAAATACATAAAAAAGAGGAACTAAAATATTTTTTAAATATCTCGCTTGAGTTTCATGTGTCATTTTTTCCCAAAAAATAAAATAAAATAAAATCAAGGAACTACATTAAAATATAAATAAAAACTTAGGGTTAAAAATGATAAAATTGAAACTTTATAGTAACTAAAATGAAATTTCATTAAAATTATAACTTGCGAAAGGGAGAGAAGTGGTCCAATACTTGGTTATGGGCCTCAAGCGAATTGTTGTTCACTTAATTTGTTAATGGGCCAATAAAGGTAAGAAGTAAATGGACCTTGGTGATGGCCCAATACGAACAACAATTCCGCAAACGGAATTCAAACACGGGTTTCATGGCCCAACATATTTTCGTTAAACGAAGGCCCAAGACTCGTAGCCCAAACAATTGGCCACATATTTGACTGATTTATATTTTTTTTGTATTACAGATTTTGCTTTGAGTTTGGTATTGGAGATGCTTATTTTGATATGTATATGAATTTTGTAATTGGATGTTTGAGACAGTTATTATTTTGAATGATATATGAATGAACAGATCCTATTGCTTCCAAGAAACATTTTTATTTTAAAAAAAATTATTTAAGAAATATGCTTTTGTTGATGAAATATGTTGATGACTAAAAGCTTTGGCGACCAAATATATAAGTTGGTCGCCAATGTATTTTTTAAAACAAATATTTTCTTTTCATAAAATACTTTTGGCAACGAAACAAGAGAGCTGCCACAGGATTGCTTACTTTCCACAATTACGTGACTTTGCTAAAATATATTTTTTAAAATTATATTTAAAAAAAAAAATAGAAAATATTTTGGTGTGACAAATCTTTTTTGAGGTTGCTTTATTGCACATAAACTATTACTTCACCGCTAATAACTTGTAACGAACATTGTTTCAACACGAATAACCTATGACAATTAAATACTCTCCATCAAAACAATTACAGCCATTAACAATCCAATTTATCTAAAATATAATTGGTCGAACAACCAATTAACGATCCAATTTTCCATCAAGTTTAACAAACTAATTAAGCCAATTTCACATCACCAGCAGAGATAGCGCTTTTTTATTTTCGATAATTACTTAAGCATCAGAGTAATTTTTTTTTTTCTAATTACTTATTATTAATAATGCCTTGTAGGTTGTAGTAAATATAATCTGGACTGACGGAAGATTAATAAAATATTATTTGTGGGATTTTGTCTGATATTTTGTAGGTTCATCTCCAAAGTAAACTCTTCTTAAAAACTCTAGGGTGCATATATATTGTATAGTTGGCATTCGATGAGAATCATTTAGGCCTTTTGCTTCATTCCAACTTGCATCATCACCCTTTGATGTCATTAATGTTTGGCAAATTCACAACATTCTCTATCAAAAACCCCTTATATTTTTTTGGTTTGTTAAAGGCCTCAGATAGACCTAATCACTACATTATTTTTGCCTTAAACCCCACCAACTTCCATTGACCCAACCAAAGTGAGATCAACCCCCCCAAAAAAAGTCAACAAACCTTTTTTAATTTGCAAAAAAAAAAAAAAAAAAAAAAAAAAAAAACATATTTTTCATCAGATTTCACACATTCATGACGTCTGAAGATTGGTTGAGATGAGATACAAATATTGATATACATATATGATCTCTAGCCATTATCTGATTAACATTGAACCCTTCTATTTATTGATTGGACTTTTTATATGCCAAGAACGTCATGGCAGAAGGAAAAGGTCTAAGCAACAAGTTGCATAAAAATTTTGTGGAAGCGACCAAATATAGGCCTATTTGTTGGGGCTAATTGACCTTCTTATAGTTTGTTCTTCTTTTTTTTTAAAAAAAAAAATTGTGTCAGAACGTTTAATATAGTTTTTACTTATAATTGATCAGGTAGATTAGCTTAAAGAAATTGTAAAAATATATAATCTGGTAATTGATTAAATTGATTTAAAAATAATCATTTAAGATTCAACCCTCTCTCAAATCAATAAAAATAAATTTAAAAGTTGTATTTTATAAAAAAATGTAACATTTTTCATTCGCAATGCACAATAAACGGTAAAATTAAGAGTGCAATAATTAAATAAAAAATGGAGTGCCAATAACACTCCTATTTTAAAAAAAAAAAAAATTAATTTTATCTCATTCCCTTAATCGCAAATCAATTTTGGCCAAAACGTATATATATTCTACATTCGAATATTGCTTTAAGAAATCAACTTGCCTAAGAAAGGTGTGTTTCATCTATCAAAGGACAGCTTTGAAGGCTCACGCCATTCAATCACTGTCATTCACCAGCAATTTTTTTATTTATTAAATTTTTATTTTTTTAGATGTAGTTTATTTTTTATTTTTTTTATTCATAAAATGGATATGCAGATAAGTTACTTCAACATATCCATTAAGAAGTAATTTTTTTATTTTTTTAGATGTTAATTTTTATTTTATTTTTTGATTCATAAAATGGATATGCAAATAAGCTACTCCAACCTATCCATCCTACGTGGGGGCCGAAACTTAAGCCCCACGTACTTCAGGCGGTAAAGAGTATGTTTAACCCCATTAAGAGATTATGAAAACTCAAATCCAAGTCTTCAAAAAGCGATTCAAAGGCCTTATCCACTTAACCGATCATTGGTAGTAGATGTTGTTTATGATTTCATATCATTATCAAAGGGTAATAACACTGTAAACGTGACAATTAAAAAAATAATAACAGCCTGCAATGTCAAAACCATGTTCCAATACAAATGCGTTTACATATTAGGGGTCGATTGTGTGTTTGGTCCATATGCTAATCAATGATTTTACATTGTATCTTTTTTATATTTCAGTCTCATTCTTAAATCCAACCATACATTGGAAACATGATTTGACCTTTAACAACCTCCAATTATAAATGGTTTTGGCCACTCGTTTATAAGTTTTTGTACTAGATTGTGTACTTTCTTAATATTAAGGGTTGAGTATATATTTTCTTAGAACACTCGTTAATCAAATCTATTTTAAATTATAAAAAATGATTCTCCTCTTGTGCACCAAAGGGTGCTATTTGGATCGGTATACTTATTATGTGTCTAATTACGTTGATTTAGCCTCCGTTTGGGAAGTGGGTTGGCTTTTTGGCTTTTTGACTATTTTAGCCTGGGCTATTTTAGCCTGGTTTGGGAAGAGCTTTTTGGCTTTTTGGCTTTTTTGACTTTTTTTGTGAGAGAGGATGGTAATGATTATGGGTTGAATTTGATGTTTTGTTTTTTGTGGCTAAAATAGCCTATTTTGTTTTTTGTGGCTATTTTAGCCAAAAAAGCCTGGACTTTTTCTTGCCAAACGGAGGCTTAAATTGGCAAGTGGGTTGGGGCTAAAATAGCCACAAAAGACAAAACAGACTATTTTAGCCACAACAAACAAAACATCACATCCAACCCATAATCATTACACTCTTCTCTCACAAAAAAAAGCCAAAAAGCCAAAAAGCCAAAAAGCCCTTCCCAAACCAAGCTTTTTAGCCCAGGCTAAAATAGCCAAAAAAGCCAAAAAGCCAAAAAGCCAACCCACTTCCCAAACGAAGGCTTACTTTGTTTAAATATTGGTAGCTCGTTCAAAAAAATTAATATAATAATTATTTTCATATAATTTTATTATCTTTATGTTAAAAACAAATACTACTCTATTTTTCAAAATTATAATATAGTAAATTATATATGTGATTATAAATATAAAATTAATCTATTATTTTTATAAATAATATACACAATGCCTTACTGAAAAAAATTTAAATAGTCAAAATAAGAATTCTATGGGCCAGCAGGGCCAACAATACACACCATTTCCTATGTATGCACTAAGCAAAGACAATTATCTTTCATTTATTTTTAATTTTTTTCAAATTAAATTAAATTAAATTAACAGCGGCAATTAAAACCGACAGTTATTTAATAGCACTCACATGACATGAGGATCATTTGAGCAAATCGGGTCGATGGGATCTCTGATATCACTCTTATAATATATATTTAGAGGTTAAACAAATATATTATATTTTAGAAACAGAGAAAGCAAATTAAAAATTATTATTACTGTGTTTGGTTGTTTTTGTTTAGACGCCATAAGGAAAAAGAAGGATTCTCGTTGACCAAACACAAGTTAAAAAGGAATTTTTCATGAAAGGAGATCGCTACCGGCTCTGGGTTAAGATCACTGAAACGTTTGCCTAGCGTTCCAAATTTTGACTTAAAATAAGGCTTAAAATTTATTAATTTTATATTATATTAAAAGTTTAAAATTTTATTTTATTTATTTATTGTTTGAGGACCATTCTAAAAGCCTCCTAAAAAAATCTGTTGGGCCAAATTTTTTAAAAACATGTCATCATTATTAGGTCTAATTAAAAATTTATATAATTAGTCCAAACAAATATTTATGATATAATGAATCCAAATAGAGTCTAACGTCAAGATTTTAATAGAGTAAATAACTTTATTTTAATTTTTTTCTCCTCTCTTTATCTTATTTTAATTGAATAATTTTACCCTAATTTATTTTCCTTAATTTTGTTTGCCCTACTGTTTTTGCCCTCTCTTTATCATAATTTAATTGAATAATTTTGCCTTAGTTTTTTCTCCTAATTTTCTCCCAATAATTTGTGTTTTGTTATCAAATAATTAATGAATTGTGACTTGTATGGATTATGATTGTGCTATCATATTACAATAATATAATCATTTCGTTATCAAATATCAGCGAATTATGTTGTTTGTATTGATTATTGCTAAATTATAAAACAAGACCCCATTTTATCTTTTTTTAGTCCTTGTAATGATTTTTTCGTATTTTTATGTATGATAATAAATTTTAATGATTATATGTGTAAGGAAACTTTTTATAGCTACTAAATAATAAAATAATTATTGATAACTTATTATTT